TAGTAATCAAACTTCTCGTTCCTGGGCTGGCGATACGCCATGTGATTCTTTGTAATGATGCTGGCCAATGGTAGCATCCACTCAGCCACGCTTCCAGTCTTTGAACCAATCATCAGCATTAACATCTCATGAAGAGCTTAAGATGTTAAATATGTTAGAATTCGGTGACGGTAGTTATTTATTGATCATATCATATTCATATTTAACTTATGATATCTTCAACTTATGACGGGTTCTTTGGAACGTATCACCAGTTGAGGAGTATCTGTATATGGGACATAGCTAAAGATAACAGCAAAATTACAAAGGGCTAATCATACGGCAATTCCACGATAACTTCCCTCACTGTTGATATACCAGACTAACACAGGACGAAGTTAACCGAGGAAAAAGCCATACGGTCCCATTTCAGGGAAAAAAACTTTCTCCCAACAAAGGAAGCAAAACTAACAATGGCCAAATGCTGCTGCTCGTATAACACTGAAATTTCTACATAACTCAACAAGGGCACCTCATCCGGGATGCCGGGGCCTCAATCGGCAGCGTGTGGTGCGCGAGGCGGCAGGTGAAATATGGCCGCGTCAACCGCCTCGGGGGATTTACAGTGGCCCGCCGCCGCCGAGCGTCCCGCAGTAAACACAGCGCAGGGGCGTATTTCACAGGGAGCTGGTTTTTATGAAGAACACTTCAAGCCTCCGCCATCCTGCCAGCGTGACGGATGGGGAAAGACGCATGACGAGCTCCATCATTGTTTATAAATCCTAACTGTTCCCGCTCACTAACTCAAGAGGCAATTTTCGGCAGGGCCAGCAGAAGGACGGCCCGGCACTCCTGAAGGTTATTTCACCCCGTATTTGGTCAGGGATGGATATGAGCTTCTTGTGGACCTCACTGGAGCAATTTCTGTCAAGGCCACCGTCTCTAACAATTGGTTTCGCTGGAGGGGTCAGTGTTTCCTAACTGCAAGAATAACCAAACTGTTTTCCCAAAAAAAAAAAAAAAAAGAATTATCTTGATTTAGATGTAAAGGAATCGAATCATATACCTCAATGTGGCTTACCTTTCAGCACTTCATGTCACATTTTAATTAACTATTGGCTTTGTGGAAAATTTACAGCCTCACAGTGAAACAATGAAGAGTCCCTGAATTATTTACAATTTGTTTTTTATTAATAGTCTTTTTTTCTTTGACTTAAAGGTGATGTATTTTTATGACTAAATAATCAGTACATAATTGTGTAAATCTTATAGTGCCATTTTTCCCCCCACTTTTATCTACGTGCCTTTGAGGACTAATAGTTATCGATAACCTGATATTCCTAAAACTCTCTCCTTTGTGCAAAGCCATAACGGCTTAAAAAAGTATTTCCTCTACCTTCCCTGCATTCTTGGCCCTACTTCTTCCAAAGTTGAAAAACCCCGCTTCTTAACATCAATCTCTTCTCCTGTTCTAGCAGGCCAGATTTTCTTTACGATTGCTGGACTTTCACATATTTCTACAGGATATGTGTCCTTGTCTGTATGCTAAAAGGGACCACATATTCTAGCCCGAGCCTAATAGTGTCTGTGCCCCGACTCTCTACAGCATGACACAGTGAGTACAGTAAAGAAAGCAAATGTAAAACCCAGCAAGACAATCAATACAGTGCTTCTAATGTAATTTTCGCTAAACCATAAAGAAAAGAAATTTTAATTAAATCCTCAAGACTAAAACATCAATAAAACATACAGGTTCATCTGCACACAGATGTAATCTCCCTCTGGTAGTTTTCACCGATTCTCCCAGTGCCTTAGAGACATCACCAAAAGGGGAAGTCTGATTGTGGTACACGACACATGATCTACAAGAGCAAGATCAACATGAACACATCAATCCCAGTACACAACAATATGCCCGGAACGGCCAGCGAAATGGAGCAAATGCCATTCCCAGGACATCATTCCATGCATACAGCTATATGGAACATTGCTCAGAGCCACAGATAATCTACTACATTTGTGCAGAAACACCAAAGCAGTTGATCTAACACAGCAGGGTTAGCTAATCTCTGCCAGTGACGGGCGGAGCAGTCGCACAAGGTCACCGCTCACCCTATAACCACCAGATATTTGTGTCAGCGTGTATTATGACCATAAATCATTCAAACCGAGCTGTGGAGTGACACATCCGTACGTCTTCACACCATTTCTGCCTGACACGTCTGTCTCTCTGTCTTTCTGGAATAAGTAAGAGTATTACTGTGTTTTTTCTGGTGCAATGTACTGTAAATGGGGAGTAAGGAAATCTTAAACATAAATCTTCGGTCCGCACCATTGTTGATGTGTCCGTACATGTAGGTGGCCTTCATGCACAAGGACACTGACACACACATACAGCTTAATGTATTGAAAATCAAGATCTTAAGAAAATTAATTCCCAAGATATTAGCTCCATGTTTTAAACGGACTTTTCTTCACCTCTAAGAATATTTTCAACATGTTTCCAAATGACATTAAAAATGGCTAGTTCCGGTCACCTAACTGGTTAACACATCACTCGAGCTAGAGAAACCCTCTACAGCTAAATAATAATTTCATGCAGAAAATAAGGCAAAATGCAACCAGGTTACATCAAAATGGCACACAGCTCCATTTATATGAACACTTCATCCATACCACCCTGGTAAGAAAATGAAATGGCACAAATTTATAGGCAAGGAAAACTGCCTACATGAATTAAAATTGGCAAGTTGACTACTGAGCTACCAGAGGCTGAATTCTGAAAAACCTACAGTGAGGTTCTTGTAAATGCTCCACCTGATTTAGATAAACAGACACAGGGACCACTGATGGGGCTCAATAAAATGAAAACTATTCATTCATTCTTACACTATTAAATTGAAAAAATAAACCTGTTAGTATCTAATGATTGAAATTACTTTTACGGACAGGAAGTCTGAATAGTTGCTTTAGCCTGCTTTATTAAATAAAAATTCTATTAAATAAAAGTAAATAATAAAGTTTCCTAGCTTTCTTGCAAAGAAACATAAGAACATAAGAACTATACAAACGAGAGGAGGCCATTCGGCCCATCGAGCTCGCTTGGGGAGAACTTAACTAATAGCTCAGAGTTGTTAAAATCTTATCTAGCTCTGATTTAAAGGAACCCAAGGATTCAGCTTGCACTACGTTATCAGGAAGACTATTCCATACTCTGACTACACGCTGTGTAAAGAAGTGCTTCCTTAAATCCAGTTTGAAATGTTCTCCCGCTAATTTCCACCTATGGCCACTAGTTCTTGTATTTGAACTAATGCTGAAGTAACTATTTGGTTGAACAGCATCCAAACCTGTTAGAATCTTATAGACCTGGATCATGTCCCCCCTCAGTCTCCTTTGCTTGAGGCTGACCAGATTTAGCTCAACTAACCTTTCCTCATATGACATTCCTCTAAGACCAGGAATCATTCTTGTGGCCCTACGCTGCACCTTTTCTAAGGCCGCAATGTCCTTTTTAAGATATGGTGACCAAACCTGCACACAATATTCTAGGTGAGGTCTCACCAAGAAATTGTATAATCAAATCAAACATATCTTTTTTCAACATATCTATATGGAAACATATCCAATAAACTTAAACACATGAGACTTTAATCATATGAGACATAATATCTCCTATAATGCTGTTCAGGAAGTGACTGGAAGACTAATGGATGAGTATAGTAACTGTGGGACTGCTGCTCCTTGAATGTAAAAGGTGCATTTCAAGTAACATGTCAAATAGCTAGCAGCACTATTCATAAAAAGAACAGCAGAGCATGAACAGTATTACAAAGTGTAACTATGTAAGGTGTCAGTACCCACAAACGCACAGCGAGGAATCACGTTTAGCTATGAAGTATAAAACTCTCAGTATTGTAGTAGTACATCATTTTATTAAATTATGGCTAATAAAAAGTTTTACCATGCACATCAAGAAAGATAGTAAAACAGATTATTAATCAATTCATCCATTTAATATCTTAATTCTGCTTTTGGCGACCAGCAGCAAACAAGTTTTTGTTGTAGTTGAGCTAAAGATTATTATGTTAATACTGATGTTTCATTTAATTAACATTTTAATTAGCAGCAATTAAAACAAACATTTTGTCATGTTATTTCACTTAAAGATTCGCTTATCTGGAACTTTCACCTGCAAGTTCTCCATTAAGAATAAGTATACTGCTTTGTTTAAATGACCTTAAAATCACTTGATGGATCTAGGTTTTAGCTTGACAGGTTACCAGAAACATAATTTCTGTTAAATAAATAGTGTAGTCTACATAGTCGTTTTTGCCGATTATAGCACCAGTTTCCTTTAGTTAAACTAATTATTGTCCTTTATTTATGCAGTAGGACACCCACAGCAAACCTGTGCTCATAAAAACAAATCTTGTATTGGCTTGTGAGCTTCAGGTAGACTAGCTGGTCACAAATGGGACCACCCAGTCCACCAGTGTTTTCCTATCCTGTAATGGTGCATGACCGGCCCATCTTGACTTGGGGAAAGGGACCCACATAGGGAGACAACAGGCATCGTCAAGGTAACCGCATAAACAACCACCGGCAGGTGAAAGGACCCATGGCCGCTCTCCCACCCAGCAAGGGTGCTCATGTGTCCCAGGCAGTTTGAGTATCAGTGCTAAAATGTCCAAATATTTGAATTCCTCCGTCCTATTAAAGCTCTACAACTCAGTCCAGGATAAGCGATTCAAGGATGGATGGACAGGGCATCCGGTTAAAACCTGAGCAGCAAAATAACGGTACAGACCTCTGTAAAGTAGCCAGATCAATAACAAATTACTCACCACAACTTTACTTCCAAACAAAAGGTGTTAATGAAAAGGGGAAAAAATGTCCTACTCTCTGGTTTTGTAGCACTGCACATATTGTGTGGATTTCCCACACTCTCAGCGGAAATGTAATAGAACTTTCTGGGTGAGCGAGTGAGCGGGGGGGGGGAGTGAGCGCTCGATACTCACCGGGCGTCTCCTCCAGGGTGAAGATGGGGGGCACACAGGCAGGCGTTCCTAGGCCCTGGCTCAGGTAGGAGGCTGCAGAGTAATAGGAGTGCATGCGGTACTGCGGGGGGGGGGCACTGTGGCCAGACAGGCGGCCCTCAGCAGGCACCTGCAGGGAAACACAAACCCCAGCAGGAACACTCACAATACGAAACGACAGAATCCCCCCCCCCCAGTACAGCAACCACTCCATCATCATCCCCCTCTCCCCATTCCTGTGAAACTTAGCAGAGCGTATATTCCGCTGGAACAGGTTCAACAGTACATATATTAATTAGGATGACTGAGACGAAAACCATTAAATTAAAATTTAATTAGCCACAAGCATTGTGAGCAAAAGGGCACGCACACATAAAACTGGTTACCATTACTGTTATTACACACTGCCAACAAAATGTAACATTTACCAGCAGCACAAACAAATTCTCATCATGGCTTTTACCACAGGCTTGGGCTGCATTACTGTAATATGGAACACAGTGGTTTTTTTAAACCTTTGCCCTCCCCCACTCGTGACTTTCATGGGGGACCCACCCCCCATCTGGAATAGTGAAAATATCACCCAACCCTACTTTACGATTTATTGTGTTAAGACTTAATGTTACAATCTTTATCATGGCTATACGTCGTTCTGATTATACATGTGGTCAGACGAAAAACAAAATCCTCAAGCTTCAGGCAATTGACTGTTTGGGTAAACTTCCAAGGAGTAGCTAATTCAGAAATAAACAGCAGAACACAATATTGGCAAGTTGTATTCAATCTCTGCAGAGCCTTGAAAATAACTCATTTGCTCTGCTGTGGGTGGCTGATAGGGTTTTCAATTTTGTTTTTATAGAATTTGATTTCTGTCAGCCAGTAATATGTCACCATTTATAGTACACACCATCAATTTCCTACCTGACAGCTTAATAAATGGTTATTTAAACATTACTGACTTCTAGCATTACTCATGGGCAATATAGCAGAAGCCAAAGTGGACTTTAAATATTTTCAAGTAATAACAGCTACCACCAGATTAGGATCAAATACAAACAGAATAAAGTTAAAAAGAAAACTTTGGAGAAATGTCTCCAGCTGGCCAATATTTTGGAGCATCTTTACGGACACAGAAATTGTACAACTTTTTGTCGAACTGCGTTCGTTCACCTTGCAAATAGTTTGCTCAGCTTCTACTGAGAGACTATCCCAACATCTCCCTGACTGCCAAACTCAATCTCCTTGATCAGTGCATACCATCGTTATTAATGTGCTGCTTTGCTTTACCTACCCCAAAGGCTCTTATCTGGCACCATCGGATGTCTGGATTATGTATACCGCCCTTATATTTTCATTTTCTACCTGCATTGCAGCAGAGACCTCTTCATGTACTGGGAGGTAGGAGATGCGAGAGTAGATAAAAACATTTTTACCCGGGATACATGCAGATTGGTCCCTGTACCTGATTCCTATTCCTACTGTGCCCCCAAATACTCAGGACATCATGATCCATGTGCTTCACGTTTCCACTGTCAGGACCGATGTTTCACGCACAGGGATGAACGGGGCCTCGATTTCACAGCATTATCACGTTCCGTCTTTGAAGTTTACTAGCTGCCCTAAAGGGGATCCTGGTTTCTGGTGGAAACAGAACGATCTTTGTTTTTTTTTTCTTCCTCAAGTGCACTTTGCTACAAGTTTGGACAAACTGAAAATTACAGTGGAGCATTACACTATAAATTACAGTAGGATTTCATTAATCTTGCAACATTTAAAAATGGTCTTTAATTCAGACATCACTGCCGTGACAATAGGCTTTTCATTGATATATGACAGATCAATAAAGTAATAAATCACATCCTTTGAAAAATACCTAAGAGAACACAAACACCGGCCCTATCTTGTATAGTTCAGCAGTTGAGCTAATTTTTATTGCTATGATGCTGCAACTAACAGAAATATTCAGTGAAAAAGCAGAAGTCTGATGATAGTCATGCATACTGTACTTAAATGATATAAACTATAAATCTATACGGCGAACAAGAATTCCAGCAGATGAATCCTTCATATAGGTCTCCTAAGTTTTGATCGTGTGAAGATTCCAACCACTCAGGAAAGAGATTTTCCTTTAATGGAATTGTTTCTTTGTGATCTCTTCATTAGGATGTTAAACTATTCAGTTAGTCAATTAATAAAATACAGCTCATGCAACAGCTTAATGTATCAGTTGCATCATGTTAAATGCATTAATTGGTGAACAATAAATACATATTTTTCTTTAATGTTCAAAGTTAAAGCAAATTGCAGAAGGTCTTTTCTTCCTTGTGCCTGCCTATATGCTCTCTGTTTCTTTGTTTTTAAACATGTTTCTGTATTTTAGCTCCAAACATGATTGATTGTGGAAGTGACAGCTAAAATGCTCTCCTTTATTCCTCCTACAGCAGCCCTGTGGTCAGCTGTCTACAGATATAAAGTGCCCAAGATGTCAGACTGAAAAAGCAAGAAACAACAGACAATACTGTTGCACAAAACAATACTATTATTGTTATACAATATAAAACAGCTCTATAGACAAAAGCTTGACTTGAAGGTGAGATTGAAATATCTACTAAGAACTACTCAATCTATGTCTTGTCGAAGATTTTGAAAATCACACTTTTTGAACAGAAAGTGTCTATATATAAATGATTTCATTGCTATGATTAAACAACACACTGAAGTATTTCCACATAACACATTAGCAACTGATCATCAGCATCTCTGCAACATAACTGCTTCACACAGATGTGCATCGATACTTCTCCTTAAAGCCAGAGTTTGTTCTGCCCGGCCATAAATCCCATTTGTCATTGCCTCAGTGGTGCATTCAAACTCACAATATCAATCTCCCCGGCACACACCATGTAATGTGCCCCTATAAGCGTTATGATACGATAAAACACTCACATTGGCTTTCTGAATAAATATACATTTAAAAGGTATCACACATGAGCTCCCTGACAAAACAAGACCGTCTTAACATCAATCAAAGTAATGAATTTGCAATAAATTAAGTATCCCATATTCCCCAAGTACAGATTTTTGAGCTAGCTACCTTATATACGTTCAGCCTCTATATGGACAAAAAAAAAAGCATCGTATAGTGGAAAGTATCACTAAATATGAATATAGTATTAAGGCAGAAAGAGACAGTCAGTGTTTACCGACTGAGGAGGAAGGTAAATCGTTATATTCAGAGTGTAACAGGTTACAAAAGTACAAAGAGCATCATTGTAATTATACAATTGGTAATGAAATAACTGCAATGTATGTAAAACTTCATTTGGGGAGGGTGGTTTCAGTACCAGTCATGTGTGTTATCGCTGGCAGAAAACAACTCTTCACATGTGACCAAGAGAACTGCACTTAGACAATGCACAAATAATGAAAACATTTTAATGGGAAAATGGCGGGATAATGAATGAAGTGTACTTGCTTTTTGGCCCTGTTTGGTGTTAGTACAGTATGTAAGACAGAGAGTAGGGTAAAGGTGGTGGGCGAGCGGGTTTGGACGCTGTGCCTGTGATCAGGGGGTCACAGGTCCATATCCCAGGCTCAGCAGCGTTCTCTCACTTTCGGGCCTTTAGCAAGGCCCTTAACCCCCAGCTGTTCCAGGAACTTCATGATTTTCCAAAAAAAAAAGTTGAATAAAAGTGTCTCAGATAAATAACAACAGGAAGAGACATTGGAGCTCAATAGCGACCCTACAGTGACTTTGCCCATCATTAATATGGGCTAATAGCCCCTGCAGCATAAGGGTAAGGAACTCCCTGTGGCAGAATTAGTTGCAGTTCCGGCCAAGAAGAATGGGGAAATGTAAACACGGTGTAGGCGTGTAGCACAGCGTGACGGCAGCGCACCTTCCTGCTGTGCTCGGGCAGTCAGTCGGAACGATGGTACAACCGCTATCGCGGGTGCACTGGAGCTGCTGGAGGGGAGGCGGAGGCCAACCCCCCCCGTGGGTCTGCCAACACAAACATAACAAAAGCCGGCGGACTGACAGGAACCACCATCAACAATCCGCCTGTGCAGTCGGTTGATCGGCACTTCACCACATTAGCCCGGCATCGACCCGTGTATCTGTGTGTGTGTGTGTGTGTGTGTGTATGACCAACCGCTCTTATCAATGTGCAGGGTGAAGGGAAGGGGGAAGCCCTTTGCACGTACCAGCTTGTTCAAGAGAAGCAGACGTCGGACACTAAGCCTCTCCACACTCCAGTCATCGTCTCCCCTTATTTCTGATTCACGCGGAACATGCTTGCGGAACATGCTTGCGGAACATGCTTGCGGAACACAGAGGGCCGCTATTCCCAGAATTAAGCAGTGACCTTTATCCCGCACCGGCCAATCCAGCAGTCTGTACTTTAATAGCAGACAGGTCCCAAGCTCCTTCCCTCATTCAGAACAACAGACAGGACAACAAACCGCATACGAGAGGGGAAGACTTAAGCCATAAATAAAGTTTTGAGTCATTTAACTTGTTTGGACCCATTTATTTTTAATTACCGCCTACCCCTGTGCGCTGCTTTTGGAAACCTCTATAAAGATTCATGGCCCTAGTTACAAGACAGCCCCTTTTACACTGTACAGCCACACCAGTACAGTGTGCTGTTCTGTTTGAGAGACTTGGGTATGATGTCATTAAATGTAATTTCTCCCCTCAAGTCAGATTGTTTGCAAGATAAGAATCTTCCATTGTTTTCACGGATAACGACATGTGTAATAATGAGACTCATCTGTGCCTGTTCATTGTAATACCTGCAGCTGCCAGGGCGATGAAGTCCAGGGGAGAGTGGTAGCACTAAAGCAATCAAAAGCCAGTTTTATGTGCTTGCATAGAACATTGAATTCCTGCATGACAGCCATTCAGGCTCAGGATCAATAAAGACAAAGAGCTGATCTAGGCACCTGGTACTGCTGGTAGTTGTACAGATTGCTGTAGTAAGTTGGGTAGCGTGAGGGCTGATAGAAGTTGTAGTATGAGGCGTCTACCACAAGGTCAGATGTACCCTCAGAGTGCCCCCTGCTGGTGGATGTAGGGCTGGACACCAGAGTGGAACGACTCCCTGGAACAAAGAACAGTATAAATAAACTCCTCCCATCTCCACTGAGGAACCTTATGCAGTCCTGCTATTAATGAAGCATGGTTTAAAATGTAAGGTCTTCTCTATTCAGAACTATGACCTTTTGACTTGTGCTTTGAAGAATAACTCGTGCAGTTACACACTGCAAAGAACAGAGTGTCTCACTGCAAACTGCCGGCTATAAGATACGTATTTCTTCTCTTATCCCTAATAGAAAAAATGTATAGTTTATTGCCATCTGGAGAACACTGGGAAAAATATTAAAGAAAAAAACATATGTCAACTTTGACAAAACACAGTCTAAAATTCCAATGTTTTTATTTTCCACTCACCAGACTACTATTCTTTTAAAGCATTGTTTTAATGGAAAAACACTAATTGTAAAGTATTAAATAATCAAACCAATTCTCAACCATAACTTATAATTTTCCATAAATATATGCACAGAATATCAAATTTTTTTTCCAACATATTAACAAACGGGACCTAAAACGAACCGAAATTAATTTTAAAAACATGCCACAATTGTGCTCAGACGTTTTCTCACGTTTTACCTACCGGATATCTAAGAGAGGTACTGTGGTCCTGTTAGAATGGACCCAGAGCGTACCTCGTTAAAAATGAGACACAAACTTTAAATACAAAAAAGAGGCATTATTTTCTCGTTTGACGCCATCGTTTGTATGCCTGACCTCCCATTCTCAGTTATCTGTTCTGATCCAATTTTTAATAAAATGAAACGGCTGCTCCGTACTGAGGTCTTGGGACCTTGGTAGCAGAAAGCCAATCAGTGCCTAACTCCTTTTGTACCACTCTGTCACCAGGGGCGGTCATCAGTGGAACGGGGCAGCCTTGACCTAGCTGGTATTCTCCTCCTCCGGAACACTGGGAACAGAGTGTTTCTCCCACCGCTGCGCGGAGTGATCAAGACGTGGCCCAACTTGGCAGCACGCAATCGGTGCCCAGCAGATATGCCAGCAGCATAATGCATTGTTGCGTAAAGAGCAGCGCTCTTCCCACAGCCCTGCGGAATGGTCACTTCCGTGAGGGCTCTGGGCTGCTATGCTAATCGCTAAACAGTGCAGTTCAGGGGTGCAGATTATATGGCCATCTTAGTCTTTTACTGAGTCACATGCAGGGTTATAACAGGAAGAGATATTAACAAACTACAGCAGATGAAGCAAATAAATGTCTGTATTACACTTTATACTAACTGTACATTTTAAAAGTAATAACATATGACTGGAATATTATATTTCACAAGCAGGATGTATAGAGTGTCGTGTCCAAGTGTGACTCGTAAGTGCATCAAGTTTACTTTAAACAAGCCA